CCAACTCCACGTGCTATAAAAGGAAAGAACCAGCCAAACGTTTGAATGCCACCACTCATTATTGCAATTTCGGAAAAGGGACGGTCTTTTTTTTTGAAATGTTAAATGTATTGTTATCAACTTGTTGATGTGCTTTTCTTTTTTTTAACTTTTGTCTCTGTGTCATCCTTGCACAGGGGCCATGCTAATCTTCTCTGTATCGTTCCAATCCTTCTAAGTTTCAACTTTTAACAGATGTCCCGAAGGACTTGTGTATGTAGTTGTAAAGTTGTAAACACATACCAAATATTACCACCGGATGCGGAAGAAGGGCGACACTCCATGCAAAAGACTGCAGTAGTGGGGATAAAGGGATAATGCCTCGTCTGCTTTTTGAGGGGGACATCATGATTGCTAAGGTCTTTGTGAAGTGTAGGATGGGGTGGAATTGAAGAGGCTTGACTGGAAAAAAAAAGGAAGCCGAAGCGGCTTGACTGCTACCGGATGTGGCACTCTGCAGAGGACCAAGATGCAGAGGGAATGCACAACCGAGGCCCGACCACCGCTCTGTGGCGGACATTTGCAGCTGTCCGTGTAGTTTTTCTCCCGACCACAGCTGCTGTTGATCTTCTTGGATCACTTACCCATGACTGCGTAGATTTCTGGTTCTAGAAAGGTGCAGAGACCGTCCTTTGGAACATCTATTAAAATTGGAACGATGCAGAGCGGAAAGACTAGTGTGGCCCCTGCGCAAGGACGACACACCTAAATCAAGCGATGGTACAACTTCTTTTTGAAAAGAAAGAGAGGAGAAGAGCGGGAAAAGACACCCAGCACTAAACATACTTTAAACCACCACTACCTTTGAGCCTCTTTTGGCCGAGGTGGAAAGAACTGCGAGCCAAGGTTTGCTCGAGCGGCAGCGTGACGGTTCTTTTTTTTGTTCGGTTGGCACCGCCATCCATTGTGGTCCAGTGGCACTGTTCATCGGAAGAATGTGGCTTGTGGCAATTGGTTTCGACTTTGCGCTCAGTTCTTTCCACCTCGGCAAATTGGTGTTTCGACTTTGCACGCAGTTTTTTCCACCTCAGCAAATTGGTGTTTCGACTTTGTGCGCAGTTCTTTCCACCCTGGCAAATGGGTGTTTCGACTTTGCGAGCAGCTAGTGGCACTGTTCAGTGAAAGGTAGTGGTGGTTTAAGGAGATCATGGAAGAAAATCATTTGGGGTTGGATCTCTAGTAAAGTTGCAGTGGCATTGGGAGTTGGAGCTCTAGTGGAGTTGCACTGGCATTACTGATGGGGGTGATGTGCTACTTGGAGCGAAGTGTGCAGTGATTGCCAGCGTCCGTGTGGTGTTGTGTGTGGTGTGCGTTGAGTGTGGACACTACAGGCTTGCAGGGGTGGGGCGGATATCACAGCCGGTATGGTTCCACTTTTGAACACCATGTCCTGGCTGTAGTGGATACGATACTTGGCTTTTGAGGGCGAGGTCGCCGGTTCGAGTCTGTGCACGGAGGAGGGCTGAGGCCCAGAGGTACTGATCCAATGACATTGGGAGTTGGATGGAGCTCCGTCCTTACACGTTACTTTTTTTGGCCGGTGTGGAAGAGCTGTAGCGACTTTTGCTAAGGGTATAGCTGGAATAGGACCCTTTTTCATAAATCAGACTATAGTTCTGACCTCTGACTAGATTTAAGTGGAACAGCTGTCAAAGTGTGCTCATGTAGTGTGAGTGTATGGCCTGAGCCAAAGCATGTATTAGGAAGATAACAAATAGTCCTTCGGGACGTCTGTCAAACCACCAGTACATGGCCCCAGGCAACTGGAGAACCTGTTTTGAGTCCCTCCAAAAATTTAGAAGGTGGAGCACCGTAGATAAAATGAATGTGCGGTGGGTGGCCTCCGGACGGGGCCCGTGGCTGATAGCTGGCATGTACCGGTGCTTCAAAATTGGAACGATACAGAGAAAGAAGATTAGCATGGCCCCTGCACAAGGATGACACACAAAAATTGAGAAATGGTCCAAAAAAAAAAACGAGGATGATGATGACAAGTAATGGCCCAAGAACTGTGAATCAATCCAGTGTCAGTCAAACTGGATTTGAATCGTACATGAGAGTGTTTGGGTGATTGGGCCGATTAGCAAGGGGCATACTTACTTTCGAAATTGGAGAAGGCAATTTCGAAAGGATGCCTGGGTTTGTAGGGAGGGGTTTCAGTGATTTCTGGGCCGATTAGCCAAGGGGCATGCTTTCAAAATTGGAGAAGGCAAAAAAAAACCTGGGTTTGTAGAGAGGGGTTTCGGTATTTCTTGGCCAATTAGCAAGGGGCATACTTTTGAAATCAAAGAATGCAAAACCCCTGTCCTATTGTCCTCTGGGCATCCGTTAAACCACACCAGTACACGCCATACATCAGCCGCGTGCCGCTTTCGGAGGCCAAAACGCGACGAAGACCACCGATGTAATTTATCAACGGCGTCCTGGCCCCGACTTTTTCGGATGGGCACCGAGTTGCTTTTCAGCAAGGCTGGGGCCGTGTACTGGTGGTTTAAAATTGGAATGACACAGAGAAAATTAGCATGGCCCCTTCGCAAGGAGGACAGGCATAAACGAGATACAGAGAAAATTAGCATGGCCCCTGCGCAAGGATGACAGGCGTAACCGAGAAATGGTCCAAAATGGGAAATTTTTAATTCATAAAGAAGCCTGTCCGATCGTCTTATCCTGTCCGCCAACAGCTCTGTACACGCACGGAGGCCATCCTGGAATGACATAATTTTGTTGCTGAAAGCCATCCTACAGGTCAATCTTTTACAAGAAAAGGAGGAGAAAAGAGCAAGACCCTTTTCTCAACCTGTCTGTCTTTTGTCAGGTCTCATTTTCACCAGTTCTTGCAATGGCTAGTGTGATAGATTGTGCTTGATATCAGATGGGACGGTCCCACACACGGGCCCCATGGGTGCTACGCATGTCCGTGATAAGAAGGCGGTAACATATTTTTCCATACCACCGTCTTCACCGGAATCAAACACGCGGTCGTTATTTCAGACATTCCTGCACCTCAGCACCTGGACAAAAAGTTGCTCCAAGTCGGTAGCTTCATGCTGTCTGACCACAAACATCGCCCCACTGCGGCCTCCCCCTTCCTTCCACCCCCTTCCCCAATGAGTCTCCAAGCTTCTCGCAGCTGAGTCTCGATGCACATGTTTGTTGTTGATGGTCTTCTCACATCACTCTGTACACAAGGCGGCTCTTTTATTGTTTTGTTTAAGAACGGCGGCCTTGACATATCAGCATTGAACTGACCGGCCCGAGTTAATCCAGAAATTCACTCAACTGCCGTCTTCACCCAAATATAACGCGCGGTCATTATAGCTGTATTTGGGGCACTTTTCAGTCCCCATGCAGCAATAATGACCGGGCGGTCTATTCGGGTGAAGACGGTAGTTCCGTCTGGATTCAAAACTCGCGTCTCTGTTTGAACAGTCCATAGGTATACCAAGTGAGCTAGGCCCATTGGTTCACAAGGCGATTCGAGGGATTCTGGAGGAAATTGCTCATAGAAATTTACGAGCGTCCATAGTCATTTGTTTTTTCTTTTTTTTATGAAAAGGTTGTGGGGGGTGTTGGGGACAGTTTCAGGCGAGGGAGTCTGTCAGGAGGCTGGACACACCGGGTTCAGCCTTCTGACGGCACGGTGAAGAAACCCAAACCACAGAGGACACTCAAGACGGGAACGCTGAACCTTGACCAAATGCGTAGCCACACGTACACACAGGGGGGTATCGACCGAGACTGCAGTCACCTGGTCGCCGGCAGTGGGGTGCGCCACACTCAGACTCAGGTTCCGGGGTGCCCAAGGTGACATCCCGGGAGGCAGTCACGCACCACTGGCGCCTGCCATGGAAGGGAATTGTTGGTCTGCTGTGAGCATGGCGAGCCCTGGCCTCCTCCCCCTCTCCTAGTCACCAAGTCCACCCCTCACACTGCCCCAATCCTGCCATGACCCCACACAACCCGAGGGGGGAGGTGCAAGTGGTCCTTATGTGATGCTCCCTGACGAACTTCTCAGCGCTTGCACAGGGGTGCAGCATCTGATGTGGCAGCCGCAGTGGCTGGATCCCACAATGCAGGCCTGTTCATTGGAAGTCCCCTGTGTGTAATCAGGACTTGAGCACGCGTTTGGTATTCTATTTTTGGCCTTGCGTCGGTCGACGCCCGCGGGCTGAGCGCGCCAGTAGCAGGCCCGAAGTTTCAAGCCTGTGACCTAAGACCACAGAGCGCATTCATTGCTGGTGCTCCACCCACTGAGCTAGGGCCGCAAATGGTTCCGATCGCCGGTGCTTGCGCGTTCTGTGTGCCCACCGTCGACGTCGGTCGACGCCCGCAGAATTGCAAGTCTGAAGATTCGAGCCTGTGACCTAAGACCACAATGCGCATTCGACACCGGTGCTCTGCTAAGAGCCGTGGATGCCCATTGTCATGTCCATAACAAAAAGGCTGGGGATGTATAGAGGAGTTTTTTTCCTCACTAGTCCTGCCAGGCTGATCTCTGCCTGTATTCAATTGGAGGATAATGGCATTGAGCTGCTGTTACATGCTTCATCGATAACATCGGCAAGGAACACCAGCACCGCCAGCAAGGAACGACGCCAGCAAGGAACACCATCAGCAGTCTGCAAGGAATGCCACCAGCAATCAGCAAGAAACATCACCAGCAATCAGCAAAGAACACCTCAGATTGAATCGCTCATGCACTTCCATTGATGAAGTCAGCAAGGAACACCGGCGACAACCGGCTAGGAACGCCACCAGTGCTTGCCAAGGAACACTGCCAGCAGTCGGCAAGGAATACATCAGATTGAATCGCTAACGCACCCTCATTGACCTGCAAGTTCTGTCAAGTCTTCTGCATGGAAAACATGTCTTCTGCACTGAAAATATGTTTTGCAGATGAAAAACGGGTGCATGGGGGGAAAACGTGTCGTCTCCGTAAACAAACGTGTGTTGTGGGTGGAAAACATGTGCATGGCAGAAAACGAGTCTCATGTATGGCCATTGCGTTGATGGTGTTCTCTTCTGTTGGATGGATTGTTGCTGTGATGGTTGCAGTCGCTGCTCGAGCTGGCTCTTCGCACCTCAGTCTGTGCAATTGACCCCTATCATGAAGACCTGACGTGCGGTCTAGTGAGTTCAACTCCTTTCCGTTCAAGATAACTCGGAAATTGTCTTTTGCTCCCAACCTCCTCAATCTCCACACCACTCCCCATGGCAGAGTTTCATGGGAGAGTTTAAACACTTCTTTGTTTTCCTTGCGAGCCCAAACAATTTCACATGCTTCTGCAGCGTTTGCTCATTGTTGGTCCTTTTTTTGTGGCTTCCCTCCCTCTGGGAGTTGGAGTTGGTATGTACAACTTTATACCAATTTGGCAATTTTCTAATTTGGGCCCTTCTTTTTAAACTCGCTTGTTTAAGTTGTTTTCCTTTTCTTTTGTTTTTTGAATTTTGGCCATGTCTTGATCACACAGGTTACATCACCGTTGCTCCGGCAACAGCGCGAGATTCTGAGTGTGAATCTCGCGCTAAAGTCACGGACATCCTTTCGCTCCAGTTGTATGATTTAACTGGGAAAAAAAGGGAAAAGAAAAGGGAAAAAAAAAGACAGAAAAAGGAAAAAAAAGGGAAAAAAACTTCAAAAATGAGGGGAGCAGAATGGAAGGTGTGACAATGGCTGTTCTGAACATTTCTGTTGCATTTATGATTTATTTTTAATATTTTTTATTTTTTTTTAATTATTAATTATTAATTATTCTTCTTCTTATTTATTATTTTTATTATTTTTATACCGTACACACTGAAATGATGTCCTTGATGTGCTGGTAAGTCCTTTCTCCTCACATTGTTCGCTGCCTTTTTTCATGGCTACGCCGGACCCGGACCCGGACATTTCCGGACATGGAACCGGACCCGTGTCCGGTAGTTTCCGGACATTTCCGGACCTCCGGACATGGGGGGATCCGGACGGTCCGGATGTCTGGACAGGTCCGGAAAATGTCCGGACCGTTAAAAAAAAA